TGTTCGCCGTTTGGAATGTGGAGACGAGAGCCGGCGAGGGCCGGCGTCCGGCAAAGAGCTCTCTTCCAACGCTTCTGAGAACGAGAACCGGCGAGCATTTGCATTCACCGGGAGATGCGCGCGTTAAAGTTCCTTCGCGCCTGTAGTCGCACACTCGCTCATGGATGGATACGCTCCGACGCGGGATCGGTCGCGGTTTTTGACCTCGAACTCCTTCGTCCTCTCCACTCCGGGTCTTATCATCGACATCGCCGCGCTCCTCTCTCACACTCTCTCTTTCTCTCGGATTCGCCACAGCGAAGAGGCGCACCGTGACGGGGCGGCTCTTTTGGGAATTTTATTCATCGGCTCATACGGACTCTNGCGGAGTAACGGGAAAAATAATGCCCCCCCCCCCCTCCCCCGCCTACCGTTTGTCGATCTCTCGTATCTGTCAATGATTATTTTCCTAAGGGCACGGAAAGTAGCAGGGCGAATGGAAATGAGATACACTCACCGGGGAAAAGATTTCTTCAGATTTAATCAATTTTACCGCATCCAGGCCGAATTTTATCATCGGCATGCACCAAAGAAACTAAACGCTTTCGATCAATAAGCACGATCGTTCGACTTTTCAACGAATATATATCTTTATCTCAAACAAAAAATTTGCTTGAAACGAAAGATCATTTTCTTATATAGACTTATTTGTTTCATTTTACATATTTGTTGTAACCAAATAATATTTTATTCGGTTAAAAGATATTATTACCAAATGATAGCGTTCATTCTGTTAAATAATCGAGTTTTCTTGAATGAGACAATAACATTTTTACTCAAACAAATGATATTTCGTATATGTTGTTTCTACAAAACAAATTTTAGTCGGATAAATAGAAATACTGAATCCAAAGAAACCTTTCTCTCTGTGGAGAGGTATGGACTATACTTTGGGCCTCGAGCGGGGCCAACGCGATGTAAAAGTTCCGCCGATTTATAAGGAATTGTTTCTTTCTTAGATGGTCGTTGGTTAAATGAAACGGTTGCTCGACGCGTGGCGGATTTCGAGCCAGATTGGTGTAACTTCGTGATTTGTAACATAATAGTACAATTCACTGGTGATACATTGATCCAATATTAGTTATATTGGCATTCATTATTGGACCAATGTATCGCCAATGAATCGTGCTACTACATGGAATCTCCGTAATCTGTTAACATTAAATCGTATTTATATAAAAAGAACTGTCTATGAGAAGAATTATCTTTACGGCTTTGCTACATTCTAACGGTTTTAGCGCTCAACGTTTCATTCGATCACAATCTAATCCTCCCCTCTCTTTCTCTCCCCCCCTCCCTCCTCCTATCTCTTTTTTTCCCTTCCTCTCTTCCTTCTCGAGTCAACCGAGTCCTCCTCTTGGATGATTGCGAGCACTTGTCTCGCTCTTCCGATGTCTACTTATTTTCACTGATTATCTTGCACGCGCAAACATCGTTATCAACGCTCTACATCGTGCGTTTTCATAGAAGTTTCTGAAAAGGGCGTAGTTCAAACATCACGTCAAGTTATCATAACGCCACGATAGAGTTTAAAGCTCGTGTCGGTGTCTTCTCTTCTTTAATGCGGCCGACAAGAATGTAGCACGTAGAATCAGCTGCTTCCTCGCGATTCAGCGGGGGAGCACACAATATGTGGTACTGTTTGATAGAAAAAAAAAAAAAAGTACCGTCGACCAAATTTCGTGATGACTGGGGCACGTGCAACTTTCCGTCGGCTCATCGGCACTCCCGACGATTCATATTTATTATTTCACTGCTATCTTATCTTCACAGATGTGAAGGATGTGAAACCGGCAAACTCCATTTTTAATCAAGATTCCGTTTCAAGAGTTCAGCTTGACGAAAGTATGTACAAATTACGAAATCCCTATGATTGATAATGGGAATTATTATTTTTGGTGACAAAACAAAGGCTATTACTGAGTTTCCAAATAACAATTGAGAGAACAAAGCGAATATCAAGTATATCAATGCACAGTTTCTAACAATGGGTTTTTTTGTGCTCACTTGCATGTGCAGTGTTTTGCAGAAACTTTCTTTCCAGTAGTAAAAAAAAATCTCTAGAAATTTACCGCTAACCAGCAAAATGTTCTTTTGGGGGTTATTTTCGACTATAGTAATTTATTCCAACTTAAAATAATATCTTGACCTAAGGTAACATCCACAATAATATCTTTTCGAGCTTGAATTTATGTCTTGCGCTTCACGAATATAACAATGTTGCAACCTATACATTTGCATATCACAATGTCTGCTTAACATTAGACTCAACGTCAAAAAACGAAAGGCAATAATGAAAAAGTACAAAGCAGTACCTTCTCATGCATCAAAAATAATGAATTAAACGACGAACGCAGAGTCATTTGAATTCCTAACGTACACGCCCGTCAAGATTCTAACCGTTATGCTGCGTCTTTCGACATACTTCGTAGCAGAACACGTTCTCTACTGAAGTATACTTTGTGTTCGGTGGTATACTTCTCTTCATTCCAAGATAAATAGAAACGATGTGAGGGGCGGTAAAAGAGAAGGAACGCTGGAGGGAGGCAGCGGGGACGGAGGACGCGTTAGATCTATCAAGAAAGGGCTTGAAAGAAGCACAGCGCTTGCGAGGAGGATATAAATGCTTCGTCTTGGAACAAAGAAGTCTGACGATTTTCTACGCACTTCGTTCAACCGGGTAGACTTTTTCTCCCATAGACTCCCGTGCAGCCACGCTCGTAATAAAGACACAAAAAAAGATTGATTTCAGTACGTCTGCGCTGCATAATTTCGTTGAGAAATGAACGAAAATGAGAAGTCACTCGAATGAAAGAATAAGTTAATTTTTTCTATTTACCTTTTCATCGTCAATTTATGCGATGTTTATGTGATAGTAAACAGTACGGGTGTATCTTAAATATGTACACTGACCAGCTAGACCTTTAACGCACAGTTCTAATTAAGTTGTTAGTATTTTCTAACCAACATATATAACATAATTGAAGTAAATCTTCTTGATTCAATAGCGATATCGTTGAAACTAATACTCGAATTATTGAAACAACACATAACACAGTAGCTTTAATGATATTTGCCATTGAATCAAGAAGATTTGCTCCGCTGTTGGAGATTTTATTGATTCCATAGCATTTTCTCCATATAGAACATACCTCCGTGAAGCAAAATTTGTTATTTCTTTCTGCGTAGAACCAACGTATTCCGTACTATCTCCCATATCTTAAGTTACCCATTTTGAAAATAATGATTGCAACAAATTTTTCATGTCTACTTTTTGTATATCGAAAGAAGAAAAGTGTTACATTCGAGTAAATAACTGCTCCAATATTCTTTAAGCAAGTTTTTACGCGGATTAAGTAAATTTCACTTGGATCAAATCAATATTACTGGACGTTATTCGGCACATTGTTCCCGCTTCTTTGAACAATCGACAAAGAATAATATACGCGGTTGAAAAATCCTAATAACCCAGTTACACCGAAGCATGATGAGCTCTGTCTTGGTATATTTTTGCGCGAATGCACAGCGATTCGCACGATCGTTTTGTGAATCGTCGGGGACAAAGAGCTGAGAGGGTGTGGTGGATTCTCAAAGACGCACATCCGGCTCTTTTTACCCATCGTTAGCGTCGCGCTTCGGATATCCCACGTTACACTTTATACACCCTGCGTGCCCCTCCCGATAATCTAATACGTGTAATTGAATCTGCGGGACCACACAGACGTGCGCGAGGATGGTTTTCCCGAATCGAACGGCGACTCGTTCCGCGCGAATGGCACGCGCACTTCGCGGAAAGAGGCGGAAGATAGGAAAAGCGCGCAATAACTTAGATCGCAGAGATAAAGCGAGATGTTTTCTCTCTCTCTCTCTCTCTCTTTCTCTCTATGACGAGAACGGACACGAGTACAGCGTGTCAGGAAGGCGCGGGCGACGCGCAAAGGCTTAGCGACAAGAAGGGCGCCGTCATTTCCAGTCAGTCGGATTAAAAAGAGACGCCGAGAGAGAGAGAGAGAGAGAGATAGTAACAGAGGCAGGGAGGTCGAAACCCATGTCTGAGCACGAAGTTCGCTTTAAGCTCCCGGGTTAGTCTGAGATCTACGTTCGGTCGGCATGGCGACGGGAACGATAGCAGGACGGAGTCTAAGGAGAGAAAGGACCTCGGTGAGATTCAATGAATGAAGCCCGCGCGGGCATGAATGGAGCCCTCGGCGGCGGCGGTGTAACCAGTGGAAAAGCGAACGGTCAATTCTCACGAAACTGGTGCGCCCTATGTAAAACGTGTTTCAACGAATTAATAATCGCCGGACAATTTCTAATCGAGCGGAGGGGGCCCTTTGCTACGGAGCCGGCCCGAATACCGCGGGCCGTTCCGAACGCGCGGCGGCAAACGTGACGAGAGGAGAAGTGCGCTCGGACTTGATTCGGCGGCTTAACGACTCGTCGGTGTACAACGAGATAGCCCTCGTGGATTATGATAAATAAAATCACCGTAAGAAACGTCCGTGTGAATACGCGGGGGCGTTACGAAAGGGTAGCGCAACATCTGTACCGTCAGGGAGATTATTTTCTCAGGACGGAATCGTCATTATCGCAAACGAAGAAACCGCTTAGAAGGGAAATTGTCATCACAGATATTGCTTACGTGGACCATAAATAAAGATTGATAGGAATTGCGATGCATATTTGTGTCCGCATGTTGAATAAAGAGAATGTATTATATTAAAGAAAAATGCTCATTCAGAAGATTTATCGATAATATTGACTAAAAACTAAAAAATTTAACGATCTTATTGTGTATATACCTTCTCTCTTTTAAGCGTTTTTTTTTATTTTACAGAACTAGCATGCCGCTCGACGAAGGACCGAACCAACGTCGGCGCTAATTCAAAACGACGTGCGAGCGCATATAAACAAATATAAATAAGTACAGCATGCAAGATACATATGTAATTGCGACTCACCCTTCTCTCCTCCGGCTGTGGTTCGCTCGACGAGGGGTGTCGAAGGTATCTGCAAACGAGGAGAGAGGGACGTTAGATCGCACGATCGTGACGTTTCGTGCGATAGCACGCGGTAACGCTCGAAACGAAACCCACAGAAATCGTGAATCCCGATTTCTCTCTCTCTAAGGCTAACCGAGACCGGCGAGAAATCAGAATAAACGCAGAAATCACGAATAGATGCCGCAAGACGGAGGATATCCGCACAAAAGGACCGGTAACCGTGATTAACCGAAAAGAAGGGAACAACACATGTTCTCTTTCATAGGGCTGCACATGGGGCAGCCGTATGCCGATTTCTCGCGAATCTCTCGACCGCATGCAAGACGCGGCGTGACAGCGCGCGCGGATGCTGTCATCATTAAGAGGCACGGCCCTAAAATGAGAATCACGCGTGTCTCGCGGTCGGTCGGCCGGCCGTTCTTTATTTGCCCCATCGGTTCGCCTCTCCTGTTCTTTTTTTCCCCCTCCCGATAACAATCGGTCGTCCCGAACAGACGTACCTACAGACGGAACTGCGGAGATATAATGATCATCATCACTGCGAGAATTAGCGCGCCACCGGCATTATTGTATATCGCCCCGGCGCTCGCATATCTTTCCGTAGGATGACCGCACCTGTGAGTCGCTCCGCGACACGTGCTAAATTACAGTTCGGTACTGATTCGAGCGATTTCCGCAAGTGCCTCCTCTTTGTACGGCGCCTTGAAATACGAGAAATAGGTCCACGTGGACGCCACGTGAAAGAACGGGAGGAAGTCCCCGGGCCCTAGTATCACGCTGCCTGCTTTTTTATCTGCGGTTCTCACAGCGGACCGGAAAGGTTTTCATCATTCACGGCAGATAATAAATAACTATCGTTACATGATAAGACGCTTGCGGAGATAAAAAAATTCGCCTCAAATCAATTATAAATATTCTCATGTATACAAGCAAGAATATTATAATCTTCTTAGAACATTTTCAGTCTTGATTTGATTGAGTTTGTACACCGAGAAAAATAATTCTTAAAGCAAAAGAAATATATTTTGTTAATGTTTTTTTTTGTTCAAAAATTAAAAATATACTATAAATAGGAATTTTGATTCAAAGAAAGTTCTAATTAGCTAAAAAATATTCTTTTGATATTAACAAATATTTTTTTGACATTAAACATATTTCTTTCTCACTTTCTCAATCACAAACAGCTACCGGATACTTCAATTCACGAAGAAGAACTATCCACGACTCTACGTTTTCTTGTATTTCTTTCCGCAAAAACGAAGCGACTTCTATTTAGCAACACGTGCTTCCGTTACAGTCCGCTTGCATTCGCTTATCGTTGCTTCCGCCCCTCGCAAAACGCGTACGAAGTCATCCCTGTCTCCCACATAATGCGAGACCAGTCTGCAGTTTGGCCGGAAGAATACGAGACGTAGAGGGACCAGTCGTTTAATCGTTTCATGTCGCACCAATAAACGACGAGGGGAATGGTCGACACGTTAAGCAACTCTCCAGAGATGAAACTGTGTTACTATGTACCATATCGTGTTTCTTCCCTTCAATTTATCTCATGGTGTAATCTCGAAAAATACTACGATTCGAAAGTGCACAATCAAAACTTTCAAGAGAGTAACAATGACAGAAGTACTTTTTACGTAAAGTTTCCAGACAAAATAACTAGAGACAAAACAGTATTTGCATACGTCTATTCCGATATGATTTTACGCCAAAAAACGATTCTCGTTATAAAACCTTTCTGTCAAAGTATTTTCTTCGTCCGCGCTGGCATATTCAATAAAACGCTTCATAGAATCATTTTTTAATTTTTTTAAAATTTTAATAGCATGTCGCAAAAGCGAAGATGTGTAAAATATTTTTCTTCTTCTGTAGTATTCTCTACTTCATATTCCTTTCTCCCATTATGTCGCCTACTGCGGACCGCGCAGTTTTATATCCCTCCGAACGAGAATTCCCAACTGCCGCAATCTTCGAAACTTTTCGCATTCTGCCAACAGCGAGATTACGCCTGACAGAAGCTGCAGGCTCGTATAATATTTTCTTTCGCTATTCTCTTACACACGATAGATATGTGGTCAACGTCTTACCGCCAATAGTTACCTGAAGGACATCAGAAGAGGGCTTTCTCGAAATCTACAAGACCCTTCCTCGATGAGTCGAAGACAATAGGAAGGATATTCAAGAGAAGTGTGAATCTCAAGGAGGCCAAGAGCGAAGGTTAAGGATGTAATCTCACCGGATGAGCGCGCCGTAATAGCGGAATTAGGAACAAGTCCTGCAAGTCCTGTCCCTCATCTCTCTTTCTCTCTCTCTCTCGTCTCTATCTACTCGCGCCGCGACAAACTTCCGCAGGAAGCCGGGGCATTCGCCGTGACACGCACCCTCGCAATACCGTAATATGCCAACAACTCCTCGCTCGGCCGGCTCGTCGAGCGCGAACGAGGATGAATTCACGACGCGAATTTTCAGACGGACGCGCAGCCCGCCAGGAACCTTCGGCGAAGAGGGTCGACTCAACGTATCGTTGTTTTCAACGTTCCTTCTCGCTCCGCTTCCCTCGCGTCGGTACTTACACATCCCACTGCTCTTTCACCTGTGAACGTCCGCGACCAGCGCGAGTTTCTTTCGACACTGTTGACTTCTGCCGAAAGTGTATCGATAAAAAGGGTTACGTAAGTTGTCAGGAATAAGCGAGCGTGATCGACGAATCAATATGAATCAATCGTCACGTCGCTAAAGACGAGCCTGGATAACCACAAACGTTTTCATATATACAGAAAAAAATCTTCGGATTTAATGTATGTGTTTGACTTGGGTTTGTTTAATATAAACAACATAATTTAACAACCACACTCATCGACGCAGATCCTCGCCTACGTTCGCGATCGAGTGACATTTCTCCGCTTAAATCGCGAATCTTACCGCCGAAGGATCCCCGGCGTTTCCTTTACGCGACGTACCCACACGTGTAGAACGGCCTGTACGTTTCATTCCGTCTATTCGTGCTTGTCGCAACGACGCGTCGCTTGAAGCCTTAATTATTTAATTGCGTCACGCCACGAACGCCATTTTCTATCAACGTAAAGTCAACTGCATCGGTCCCCTTCTACTAATTAACGCGACATTCCGACAAGCGACTGCCAGTCCTCTGCAGCAGCGGCTGCGACTGTGTGTAACATGTGCAAGTACGCGGCAACGGTCGGTGACTCAGGCCGGAGCGAAGCCATGAAACGGCATGTACGGTAAACGGGCCAAATCATAATACTAATACTCCGCGAGGGGGATAGAAAAAGAGGGAGCGAAAAGAAACGGAAAGAGGGAGAATGTAAAACAGAGATGGAGAGAGAGAGAGAGAATCGTATCAGGGACATTTCTAATTTTAGATTAACGCCTCCCGACATCCGTTTCCGAGGCGCGGCGCAAGCACCAGAAACACGTACTACCTAAGCCAGCCGTTTCCAGGCGCGGGGGACTCATACGATTAAGGGTACAGATCCCGCGGTTAAAAATAAAGCGCCCAGCCTGCAGGCCGCGTCAAGATCCACGCAGGGGGAAATTTCGTTGGCCCGATCTGACTCGCGTCTAAGTCGGCTATGGATGTACGATGGTTGCGCGTAAGACGAGGTACAGTCGGACGCACGTTGACGGAGTCCCTGCGCTTGTCGGATCGATCGGTCGATCGGAGGACCGTTCAGAAGGCTCGGCTGATTCTCTATCTCCTTCTGCTCTCTCCGGAATATATAATATCGTTTTAACGTAGACTGTGCGGTACATGATGCCAAATTTACTCTTAAACCTTTCACCATACATATTTTTTCTGTCGCCGAAAGACTGTACTTTCGAATTATACTAGAGATAGGTGGAAAATGCTGTGTGGAAAAGAAGAAGAAATAATATGTAAAAAGTGTGCCAAATAGCCCCGTCTGTGTGTCCCCTGCTGTAGGCGGTAACAGCCAGATGGGGAATTCGCGCAACACGAGGGAATACACATGCTGTATGAAAAATTCGATGTTTTGGGGACTCGTTAGAAAGATGGGTAATTCTTTTAACGTGTACGACGTGTATAAACGGTATTTGAGGGAAAAAGTGATTCGTTTAGAATAGCAAAGAAAAGAGAGTAACCACCATGGGAAGATCAGTTGTCATTGCCTGCGACGAACGACACGCAAAACCTACACACATACACACACACAGACAGAGAGACAGAGAGAGACACGTATACAGACGCATATACATATATTCGCACATAACGTACCCGCACGTGGCATCCACGAGCCGGTTAACCGATAACCTATCGATCCTCGACAATACCGACAATCTCACCGTTGGTAGTACCGGGAAACAAGTATTCACCAGCTTCTATATGCTCACCCTCACCCACTTCCGAATGTATGCACCATCGATCACGAAGGGAAAAAGGCAGCGTCTATGTATGCGTGTACACACACGACACGGACTACCCACAGTAATCGATATTACAATCACCGCTATCGAGCTGGACAGGCGTTCGTTGACTCTTTGTTTTGCCACTGGCGTACTATCGGGACTCGAAAGTGCGGCGGGAGAGGTACAAATTGAGAATTCGAGCGCTTAACGAACCGGGGGGAGAAAGGGGAGAGAGGAATGACACGTGGGAAAGGGTCCGAGGTACGAACGGAGAGAAAACCCGATCTAGCTTGCAACATCTTCGTACGATCCTCCCTCTCTCTCTCTCTCTCTCTCTCTCTCTCTTCCTCTTTTCCATATTGTCGTCCGTCCTTATGAACGAACGTCGCCGAGGCGTCGCGCTATCCTACGACAATGTACGGTGGCACGAGCCAAGTCGAGGGGTTGGGGTCGCACCGGCGGCGCGCGGCGTTTCGGGGTGCGTATGTAGTTACGTACGTATAGGGGTGGGTCGGTATTCAACTACGGCGTGCCAGGTGGTGACTGCCGCCCCATGTGTGCTCATATGTCTGCCCCCCAAGTGGCGTTAGTTCGCCGCTGGCGCGCGATGTGCCCCGCCGCGAG